GTGGCATTATCTAACAAACATGCAGCTGTGAATTATTTTTTACTGGTATCTAACTATTTTGACAATTTGCAGATAATGAATAAGATGAACTTATGTTTCTTGAGATAAGCTGCTTGATTTTCTGAGTGTAGCAAAGACTCAGTACCATGTAGGCTGCTGGAATTGACGACAGCTGGGCAAATTCCTGTTACTGATGTAGGGGAGTGATCCAGAAAATCAAGCACCAGCCCTTTTCCTTTTCTTATTTCTTACCCCACTGCTAAATTGCCAGCTAAAACCTCATCCATTAAGGCTGAGGTAAATTATTAGAAGTGTTTTTCTAGAACATGGGAATGTGACTGTGCACTTTTTGTGGTAGTCCCAGCAGCAGAAAATATCTCAAGTGTGTCCTACTGAGAGGCGTGTGAGGACTGTGTGCTTTTAAGTTAAGGAAAGAAGATGCAGGAAATGGTGAGATCAGTTTGTTTCAACCCAAGACTTCATTTGTGAAGCACAGGATTTTTTACAAGCTACCAGGTAGGTTATTGACACAGTGTGTTACAAAGTTGCCTCACAAAGGGAAATGTGTTGAAATCTCATGTGCAGATAGCAGATGGACTGATTAGAGTAAGTTATTTGTGGTAGATAACCAGCCAATGGTCAAAACAAGGTTATCAAAAGAGCTGGTTACGATTTGTGAAAAAATGATAAGTATTTGCAGAATTTGTGATAAGCTGTGTGTCTTAAATTGAATCTAGTAGGTACCATGTGCGCAAGACAAATACATATCTGTAATGATGTATCTGAAGCAGAAGACAAATTTCCTACTTTGGGTATTTTGATTTGTTTGTTTTCCAGTGCATCTTTTTCATGTTTTCCATTCTTTTTCCCATTCCCAGTGAAAGGAACTACAGCGTTGTGAGAATATAACAGTGCAGGAGATTTTGGCTAAAGTCCAGTGGGTTACTGCCTGAGTCTTGACAGAGACCAAATATGGTGTCCTATTGCATGACAGAGTTCAGTGACCATTTAGTTTATTAGTGGCAGACAGGATGATTCTTAATAGAAGAATCACCAGGAAATAAAAGACATTGTTTCATGAAGTTAGAAAGAGAATATAAAACTGAATAAGTGAGAAAAAAGATGAGGAAACTAATAGAGAGGGAAAAAAAAATATTTACAGAAGAAGAAACAGACAGTGATGGTAAATGCAAGAAAGGAAGGAAATATAGCAAATTTAGGAAGAAAACTGATGCAGAATTAGATAAGAAGACAATCTTTAGCAAAAACAATTTAAAAAAAATTTTTTTGAAGGTTAGTGTAAAAACGAATAAATTCAATTGTCTCATCTGGGTGGTTTGATGTTGGGGTGTGGGATGCTTGTATTGATTTTCATATTGAGAATCTTTTGAAGGTAACACATAAATATTACAGTGCTTGTTGCTTTAATCCCAGATATCTTCAGTGGCTGGTCTGTGTGTAGAATTAGTATGTCCATGGTAGTCTTGCTTGGATACTGTTCCATTCAAAAAATATAAACTTTCACATTTGTCCCTGTGAATTGTCATTTCACCTTCAAAAGTGAAATGTTTTGCACAGGTTGCAGATGCTTTCCAACAAAAGCTGCTTGGGGAATGCTTTCCCTGGGACTTCAATATTATGATGGTGTCAGGGAGTTTAAAATGGCACAACTCTTCAAGACCTTCCTCTTTCCTTGATTTTGACCAGGTATGCTGGTCTTGGCTGGGAATTTTAATTTGCTTCACACAGCTCTTCATACCAGCTCTTCACAGCAGCTGGTATGGGGCTATGTTTTGAATTTGTGCTGAAACAGGATGATGAAAGGGTTTTTGGTACTGCTGAGCAAGGCTTACACAGAGCCAAGGCCTTTTCTGTTCCTCCCCCACCCAGCAGCAAGGGGTGCTCAGGAAGTTGGAGGGGGCACAGCCAGGACAGCTGACCCCAACTTACCCAAGGGACATTCCATACCATATGGTGCCATGCTGAGCATACTAAAGCTGGAGGAAGAGGAAGGCAGGGAGGAGAATTTGGAGTGATGGTGTTTGTCTTCCCAAGTCAAGGTTATGCGTGACTGAGTGGCTGAACACCTGCTGCCCACAGGAAGCAGTGAATTCATTCCTTGCTTTGCTTTGATTTCAGGCATGGCTTTTGCTTTCCCTGTTAAACTGTCTTTATCTCAACCCATGCATTTTCTGGCTTTTACTTTTCCAATTTTGCTGCTTATTCTGACAGGAAGGAAACGAGTGAGTGGTGGCATGGGGCTGAGTTCTGGCTGGGGTTAAACCACAATACCTGGAATGAAGCTGTTGTTCTTGCCTTGTCTGAAGTTCCTTGAGCTTTTCCTTGGAAGGCAGTGCACTCACCTGTGTGATGCCCATTTACAGAGTCTCTGCAATTCTGGTGTATTCCTTGAAACTATGGCCAGTACAAAGTGTTTGCCAGCTTTGTTTGGGATGTGCTTGACAGTTGCAGAAACAAAGAACAACTTAGCACAGATATCCTGGTGCTATTTCTATGTAATTACTGCACATGCATTTTTATTTTATTTGTGAATAAAATGTACAACACTAAAGCTAAGGCTGTGTATGCAAAGAGGATTTTTGTGTTTCTGACCTTTTTAAACTTTCATACAAAACTGACACAAAAACTCCAGGACAAAGCATCCAGTTTTAATCTCATGACATCAGTGTTAATACCGGGACAAAAAAAAAAAAAAAAAAAAAAAGCCAAAATCTTAATGCACATACATAATGGTTTATATGTCATAAAATGAGAAAGCAAATGTTTCTCTCAATTTATATGGGCAGTGAAAATTGTTAAGTGATATTGGGAACTAGGCATGGTGTGTTTGTGCATTCTCAGTCAATAATTGGAATATGGTAGGCAGAGGAATCAGGATTTGTGGACAGCTGTGCACCATGTATCCGTGCATCCCAAGGAGCTGCACCTTGTGGTGAGGACAGGAGAGGACTGTGGCTGTAGGGTGCTGAGGTGAGGTGGGGCTCCTGCCCTGGGAGTGGGGAGCATGCAGCTTCCCTCAGCCTCCTGCCCAGTGCTGGAGTGGGTGGCAGCAGATGGCTAAAGGTGAACCAGAACTGTTAGCAGAAATACCACAGGACTGTACTTGCTACTGTATTTGTTACTATCAATTAATATTTTATTTTTTTTTAATTTCTGGGATATTCTTTATTTAATCAGCACTTCTCTATTTAACCTTAAACCAAGTAAAAACTGGAATAAAGGGAAAGTAAGAAACCCTGTATACAAACACTCACATTGAGGTGTAGTCACACTGGCAGAGTTCAGGTAGCCCAAAATGAGAGATGACACTTCATCCCTAATTTGTATCAGTAGGAAAATGGCTGTGAAAGGATGTAGGTTGGGCACGGAGTATCAGCTGGGGTTTGTATTCCCACGCATGGACAAATGTTAAAATATATTCTGTCTTTGAAGTTTCCGTTAAAAATCCCACCAAAACAACCTCTTAAGGAAGTTAAGCCTAAATCTGTGCTCTATAAAAATTTTAATTTGATAGCCACAATTCTGCATGAATTATTAAATATAACTTTGTTTACTTATCCATTTTAAGACATTTATTTTGGCTTGTAAGCATGTTTTTTTTAGAAAGCTTGCTAAAGGATATGTAAATGTGATGCTCACTGCACATCTTTATATATAAAAATCAAAATTCCAATGCAAATCTGTAGCCTTGGTTGCACTGTAGCAATATGTTTCTAGGACATTAAATACCAGAAAAAAAAAATGTTGGAGGGGCATTAAGTCAGGTTCTGGATTAAATAATTTACCAAGCCTATAGTATCTCTTTTTTAAAAAAATCTGACTAAAAATCAAAGCTAGTTTTTAGAGATGAAACAAAAAGATCAATTAATAAATAACTACATTAATCTTAATTCTTTCATTCGGACTTACTGAAATTGTAGTTTTCGCCTTTAATGTTCCTCAGTTTTATCATTGCTTTTCATCCCTTTTAATGTTCTTAACCAGATATAAAGTCCGTAAATGAATGTATTTTAAAATGTTGACTTACTTGATCTTAAAAATGACAATGCAATGCTAAGACACAAACCAAGAATACTTAATGTTATCAGTATAACAACTCACTTTTAAAGTAGTGATACCTTATTATAGGATACAACATTCCAGCTCTTTTATTTTTTTAAATAAAATAATACCTTAATTTATTTGTATTCCACCAGAATGAGTACATTCATTGCAAATTGCATGCACATAAAAGGGAAGCCATTTGTAAACTACATGATATCTTAGCAATAAATAGTATTTGATCTAATACACGATGGTAGTTCATTTCTTGTTAAAACTGCAAGCTTTTACCAAAATGAAACCAAACTCTTATTCTCTTTATAAATATTTTAAATAACTTTTAGGTACATGTTTCATACCAAGTATATAAAAATAGTATTTTTAGATAAATTAAGAGGTTTCATTTACATGACAAATAACGTGCAACATCTAAGCACTCTCTAGCAGCTCTATTTGGTTGATTGTCTAGATGACATGCAGCGAATGTCCTTTGCCTTCACAGAACTTGACAAAAAGACCAGCAGGACCCACGATCACCTGAAGCAAACTGTGCCATAGATATTGTTTGGGAACAACAGTCAGACACTCAGAGAAAAACCTTTGCTTCGATGAACAAAAGCCACCCATGACGGTTCTTTGTGCTAGAATTCCAGCTGCTCTGACCCTCAGGGTCTTTGGACTATCACAAAAGTCTGTCAAACAGACAAGTTATATCTGTATTCAAAATGTTTTTTCAACATGCTTCTAGAATCTAGAAATTTATTGTTTATCCTATAGTATGAACCATTACCTTTTCTTACTTTCTATAAATCTGAATTTTCATGTTTGTAAGTCTCCATGATCACCAAAACAGGGATCAAATAGAGCAGTCATGCAGTACTCTCTAAATTTAAAACTGGCAGCTGTGGAACATGCTTTGAGTACTACTTCACTATTTCTCATACATCTATGGCTTGGCAGTCTTTATCTTTAACATCCCTTGTGCTTGTCACAATGTCTACTGGGAAATCTGGGGTCTGTGCAGAAGTTACTCCGGCTGTTCCTTCCAGATCCCACGATCCTGGCAGGTTCTCAAGGCTTAGTGAGCTGATTGCTCCTTGGCTAAAACTCCCTTCCTCTGATCTGCTGGGCAGCACTAGGTGTAGTGACGTCTCTGATGAAGAGCATACTGAAGGAGAAAAGGTTGCTGAAATAGACTGAAGAGGAGTCAGGGTAGTGTCTGAATGGGGAGAGGTGCATCTTAAAAACTGCAGATTGTCTTTCTGAATTACCTGATACTGGGAAGGGGAATTTTGAAGGCCTGTGGTATAATGAAGTTCACCATCCATAGAATTTTGCAGGTTGGGTTCAGTCCTTTGGGGACTGCTGCCTACAGAAGACAGATCTGTATTCCAAATGTCACATAGTGTGTTTCCACGACAAAGTTGTGCTTTGGTGCAAGTGAAGTTCCCAGCTTGCATGTGCGAGCAGGGTTGATGTGTAGTCCAAGCCACTCGAGGCTGCAGACTGTCCAGTGTGGGACTTCGAGATAGGCTGTGCACAGCACAGAATCCTGGAGGCTTCTGGGACGTCAGCAGGTTTTCCAGAAGGTGCATCACATTCTTCATATCCTTACGTAATTGTGAGACTTCTTGACTTAAAGATGTCATCTGTTGTGAAAGGGCAAAATATCACAGTATTTATTCACCCACCATGCCTAAAATATGTGCATACATCCCTCTTTTCTTTCTAGCAATAGCAACTCTCATCTTTGGCACAGTGTAGAAATGCATTTTACTAGTGTATATGTGAAAAATAGTCCTTCCAGCTACTTTAATCCACCTGACTTCAAATTATTCTTTACATATAAACATTGATCATAGGGTGAGAACTGAGATGATTTCCATATGCAGTATGACATCAATATTTTCTTGATAAATATGGTTTAAATATTTTAGACCATAAAACTTTGTTATTAAACAATTTCATGCTGATGAATTACATAAAAATGAGGTCTTGTAAAATCTTGTTTAGAAAAACATGTGAAGTATAATGCCGTCTTCATAGGAAAATAAAAGAAATCCATACTGTCAGTTGTGGACTACTACTAAAAACAAAAAAAAGGAGGAAAAACTGAAGACTCTGAAACCCACTTGTTACCTCTAATTATTTAAAAAATATAAAAGATTTTGAAGCAGTTAGTTTCCATGCACTTTTGTGTATGCTTGAAAGGTACTACGTATAACAGACATTAATCCATTGCATAGATTTCTCTGGTGCGTGCGCAAAAGGAACAATCAGATTTTTTATTAGACCTTTTAACTTAAATGCTAAAACTGCTGGTAGCATCCATTTGGTTTCATAAAGTACATGAAGTCTTTCCTCAACAATGCTGTTTTGGGTGGGGGTCAGATTGGCAAGTTCTGAACTTGTGTTTTAAAGTTGACTGGCATTTGAACATTAATGGGGACATATTTTTAGGCCTTTATAAGGATGTTCTGGGCAAAGAAAAGTCTAGCTCAAACATAAAAGCAACACACTCATCATTTCTAAGGGTAGAAAGTAAATTTGTCCCCATGATAGTTATCAATCTATTTTAGGTCAAAGCACCATCATTATCATTAAAATAGAGTTTCTCATACTGGTACTACTCTGTTGAAAAAAAGACATGACTGCACATTCATCTTCAAGCCATATGTCAAAAAGAAAATAATTCAGGGAGCTTTTCTTTGATCTCAAGTAGAGACACCACTGATTAGATGACCTACAGAGACTAATTTTCATTGTTCTGTCAGGATAGCTCTGAAGAAATCTACTGGAAATACATTTCAGGCTGAGTTTGATTGTGTTATTACAGGCACAATAATTATAAAGAAATTCAGAGAAGAAAGTAGGAAGCTCCAATACAGCTCCTATAGATCTATTTATTTTTCTCTGAGCTTATTGTTTAATAATTTTGTAATGATCACACTGCCTCTGGAGAGAAAATCCTTAAAGGGAGGAGACTCTTGAGTGGCAGGTGACAGGATCTCTGTCTCTGCACTTCTCTTTCTTTCTGCCTCGTTATCTAATTGAGTCATGATAGACAGAAAATACCATGAGTTCCTCTTCTGCCAGCAGAGATTAAGCTTTGAATGCCTGGCAACTTCAGATAATATGAGAAATTAAAATATGCTGCCAAAGCGCTCTGTGAGCAGGTTTCCCGTGGGGTCAGACTACCCAGTGAAGGTTATTGGTACCATCAGACTGTGAGAAAACACAGTGAGATTTCTGGACAAACTTCACAAGAACTCCTATGTTCTGTTGGACCCTAGGAAATGATATTGCAAAACCTCCAAAAGATTTTTTGGGAAGGATGGGGGAAGACAGACAATCAAACCCACAGCTATCTAGAGTCACTGGTCATCAATTCTTTTTAGGATCATCACTGGCCCCTACACCTCATGGATACAGCAACAATTTTCTGGGCATAATTTCCCAAATTGCATCATTTTTTTCAGGGCTTTCTGCAGGTGTGCAAATAAAAATATTGACACTACTTTATGAATGTGTACCTTACCTAGACTATGAATGCTGTGTGAAAATATCCACGATTTTAAAATGTCTTGTTTGGTTTGATCCTTGTTTTTGTTTTCCATTTCTCATAACTTATGAGCTTTTTAGAAGTTGAATCATCATTTAACATGTTTCCTTTGCCAAATCATTAAGAAAATACAGCAAAAATCAATCCCAGCATCAGCACTTGTGGCAGCCCTGAATTTCTGCTCATTACAATTTGCTCTAGTGCCCAGATACTCTATTTTTGTTTTATGTATCAGCTAGCTCATAGAGTGTTTTCTTCTCACAAACTTGCTCTTGCACCAACATAGGAATTTACTTGATAAACCCCTATAAAGTAGGATTTAATGGTTTCCAGTAGTATGATAGTCAGAGTAGTTATGCCAAACTTAATTCACCACTATCAGTTAGTAAGATCTGTTTGGACATATTCTCGATGTCATATACACAAAAAAATATGTAGCATTCAGGATTTTACAATGACGAGATTACAAGATTAAACATCCAGTATCTATATTGCTATTAATTATCATATGTCTCTATATTATTGTAGTTCTACACATGCACAGCATACTATTAGTGTTCCTACCAACTAATTGGTAATAATTAATTACTTACTAATATTTTACTAATAATTTACTAATTGCTAAACAGTTCCTACCACTGTTTATGCTATTACTCTTTTACCCTGAAGAGGTCCCTGAGCAGATGCAAATAAAAAGGTGTAACAGGGGGGAAAAATGTTATCAGTACTACTAACAATTTCACAGTGTTTGAGAAAGTGCAAAAGAACAGGGATTAAAAGCCAAAGGAATTTTAAATCTATGAAAGAGAAATTGAAAGCAGTATGGTTTCTTCCTGAGGAAAAAGGGCTAATTCCTGGCATACCACTAAAGCTGCACTCTTTTCAGGAGCTCACTGATTATTGCTAGGCAAAACAGCTACTGGTACAAATGGTTCCTGCTGTGCTAGGCAGACAGCTTTAAAATTATCTCCAAGATCCCAAATATACTTGAAATGCTGCTTTAACACTTCCTAGGACTTGAAAAAGGTACTGCAATGATTCTGAATGTAGAAACTGGGTTTTTTACAGATTTAGCTTCAAGTAGCAAGAGGTGCTTCTCAAACTGGTTGAAAGCAATGTGCTGGTGCCTTTTTAGTAGACTATGTTATCAGGAAAGAATATATTCAAAATAGAGGTTAAAATATAATTTTTAGTAGATGTATTTTGTATTTTAAAATTACTTTGACAGTTGCAGAAGAAAGAGTATTTTTCTTTACTACCAGAATTAAACTGTTCAGCAGTTTGAGTATTTTGTTCCATGTAGTTGGGTAGGAATGGTGTGATGCTTGTTGCTTGTTTAAATGGCTAAAGAGTTTTCTTTTTCTTTCCATTATATATTCCAATATCTATTTTTTAAAGACAAATTTTAAACTGGAATGCCTTGCTCTCATCACTGTTCCTGGATAATTCTAAATGTCCTAGGGTGACTTTAATAATGAACCCTAAATTTAAATAATGGATAAAATAAAACTTTTTTCTGATTAGAAGCTGATTAGATTCTATTTGTACATATTTTTCTCTCCCTATGTTTATGCCCTTTTGAAATTCAAACTTCAGACCCAGATACCTTCCTGCTTTGACTCTTTCTGAACACCCAAAAAAGGGAAGATGAATATTGGCTTATTGAGAAATGGAAGATGCATTTTGGCAAAGTGGAGGAGTTCCCTGGCTTGCACTGCATATGGCAGCTTCTCTAGTCCCTTGCTTGGTCTTTCATTGCTTCTTCTATTCAGGGAGATTTTCAGCTAGAATGAGTTGTCTTTGAAGCTCAGATTGACTAACTGCTGGTATTCCATTTCTTACTGGCTGTGTTGTTGAATGAATGAAACAAGAATTGAGCAGACACAGACTCTTCATTGACCATCTATCAGCAGCTCTGTGGCTGTTGGTATTATGGTGACTGATGTTTCTGATTTAATGGCTTTGGAAACAAAGGTAGTTGCAGAAAAAAAAAAAATCCAGTGCAGCTGATTTGAGTTCAGATTAAATCTATAGGATTTGTGCAATGATATGATGATTTAGTTTCAGTGACATAAATCCAGGAATCTGGAAGGCTGTGCAATTGGCTTTACCATGTAAGAGCAGGAAATATGGTCATTTGCTTAATCTCTAGCCAGCTCTTTGGTAGTTCCAGTGACCAGTTTGTCTGGGTAAATTAGGACACCAAGATTATTGCTATTAAACAGATAAGGGTAAATGAGAGAAGTGTAAAGGACTAGAGTATTTAAATATATTCAAGTTAACAGGGGTCCCATGAAATTCAGTCTGGAAAAGGGGTTCCCAAACTGCAGTTTTAATAATAATTTGTGGCTCTTCACTGGGAGTGAATCTGGTGTGAAGGAGAGGGGAGGTGGAGAGGTATGAGAGGAAAGTTGGTTAGAAGTATGGAGCACCTGTCCTACTAGGAAAGGCTAAGAGAATTGGGATTTTTCAGCGTGGAAGAGAGAAGGCTTTGAAATAACCTTCCAGTATGTAAAGGAAGGCTACAAGAAAGATGGAGAGGGATCATTTACAATTGGATGTAGTGATGGGACAAGGGGTAATGGCTTCAAACTGAAAGGCAGTAGGTTTAGTTTAAATATTAGGAAGAAATTCTTTACAGTGAGCCTGGTGAGGCACTGGAACAGATTGTACAGGGAAGCTGTGGGTGCCCCATCCCTCAAGGTGTTCAAGGCCAGGCTGGATGGGGCTCTGAGCAACCTGGTCTAGTGGAAGGTGTCCCTGTGCATGGCAGGGGGGGCTGGAACTGGGTGATCTTTATGAACCTTTAAACCCAAACCATTTCATGATTCTGTGATTGTTGGATGTGGACTCTGCCTTCAGATTGGCAAAGAATCAGGACAGTATCAGCATAATGACGGCAAGAAAAGAAAATCAGGTTTGGAAATTACTGCTTCAAGGAATTAAAAATTACCAGGGGCAAACTGACTGACTAGCTGTTGATTGAGAGAAAATGGAGGATTGTGGAAATCTCAGGTGGCTGGGAGAGGAGAAGCTGGCAATATGTACTGATGAAAGGAAACCTGAGGTAGTATATATGATATTGGG